CCACATTTCTGCAGACGTCAGGGAGGTGGATGCGCGGTTACAAGAGTGCAGCACGCTGCAGCCGCGTTTGTACTGTCAATGCCTTTTCTTCTTGTGAAGCAATTTTCATTCTAGAAAATTAGGAAAATAATTTTCCTGAAATGATTGTACATATGTTAGCAATTATTAGTACATGTCTTCACATGGGCCCTTTAAAAGCTCATCTTGGACAGACATCCCGCAGATAGACACAGGCTGCCATGGCCTCTCCTAAACCAGCTGGGGGCAGGCCTCCCTTTTATTCCAAAGTGAGGTGGAGGGGAGCGAGGTCACGGGGATGAGAAAGGTCATGGAGGTGAGCGAGGCCGCGGGGGTGAGCGAGGTCACGGGGATGAGAAAGGTCACGGGGATGAGCGGGGCCGCGGAGGTGAGCGAGGCCGTGGAGGTGAGCGACATTCGCATGCAGCTTAACCATAGTTCTTTTAATCAGCCCAGTTCATTTTGATGGACAGATGGTTGTTGTCTAGTTGTTTGTTTGCATATAATAGTAAATTAAAACAATTCTGTGTAAACCCCTTAAAGAGACATATTCTTTAAACAAACATTTCTATGGCAAACAAGTAGTAATAGCCTTTTTAAAATAAAAACACACACTTATCTTGAAACCCAATGTTAATTATTTGAGTTTACTAAGATAATTTTAGTTTTAATTCTGTTCTGTTGAAAGTTAAAATTATTTTTTTTTTAGGTCGCGGAGGTCGAGGTCACGGGGATGAGCCGGGCCGCGGAGGACCGTGTCCCTTATCACCGACGATGACTCCATGACTGTCGAGCTGTCGATAGAAATGGGCCGAAGCCCAAAGTAAAATCAGTCTAAAGCCTCCCCCCCACGCAGGCCAGTCATTTCTCCAAAGACGCCAGAACTGGTGAGTATCCAAGTAGGGAACCGGAGACCCGTGGCTCCGCCCAGAGGGTCTGTGCCTCCAGCCCCGGGCAGAGGTCAGAGCGGAGGCTGTGTGGGCACAACCCGCGGCTTTGGTGCGGCAGCCCCACCGGATCTTTCTCGGCCTCATCGCAGTCCAGGCACGAGGTCAGGGTGTAGCCCTCCCCCGCAGCCTCGTGGCTGCAACCTCTGCCTCAGTCTCCCCAGAGCTGGAAACGTCAGTCCTCGGGCTACGATGACGCCCGTCCTCCTGCCCAGCGAGGCCGCGTCCATCACAGGCAGAGCTGGGATCTCTCGTGAGCGCCTCTGGCCGAGGCTGCGGGAATAAATAGCCGATCAGCGTGGCCTGGGTGTATTTTTGCTTCGCCAGCTGCGCGCCGATGAATGCCGTGCCAGCTGCCTGTGCCCAGGGCGGGCAAACAATGTGGACACGAGCAGAGCGGAGTCAGACGCTGTGAAAGCTCATTCAGAGGCTCCGCGTGGGCAGCTGT